GTAGCAGTTATGGTTGATCGCAGCTACAGTACATGACATGACAGTTCAGTTATATATGCTTTATATCATGATATTGCAATTATTATTACTGTTTTACTATAGTATGAGTTTATGCGGAGCACAGTGACCTTTAGTGCTCACGCCCCACTGTATTATTCTTTTTCAGGTGACAGAGTCGGTCCGGAGGAGTGAGCGGAGCCGGTGGTTGTAGTTTGTTTATATAGACTTTTGGACATGTATATATATGTTTTGCCACATTTTGAACTTCCGCTGACACTTTCAGGTTTACAAACTCGCATGTAAATATTTAATGTTTTCCAGCCAGATTGTACAGTTTTACATGTTGTTAACTGAGGTAATCCCTTTTCGTAATACTTTTAATTCGGGAAAGATAACGGATTTTAAATAAGAAGGGTTTTTTAGTAGCACCTCGAATAACGATTTCGGAAGATTAACACATATTTTTAGAAAAGAAATTGCGAAAATTTGACTCTGATTTTATTAAGCTAGCGGGGTGTTACAACTAGATACATCCGTTCTTGTTCGGGCACGTCCCGAAAGGTGTCTTTTGACACATAAACCTCTTGGAGGTGTCTCCTTACATCTATAAATACCAACTAACATGAAATCATTTAAATACATCAAATAATTCCATAACTTTTGCATCATTTTTACAAAGTTCATATTCATCTTGTGTTCTTTGTGTTCTTTCCTATCTTGAGAGTTCCGAAACTTAAGTATTGTTCGCCCAAGGTTTGTGTATTTGAGTTACCACTATACACAAATCAAAAGTCGTTGTATCTTGGAGGCGTTAGCCGTGAACCGTGGGTAATATACGGGGCTATTTCGTCTTAAGGAGAGCGTATCTTACGTGCCTCGACTTTGTTCGTTTTATCAAAATTCCTTCTATTTCTTTAACCCATTTTCTTGAAATTCACATACAAAAACAGAAATTATAAACTACAAGAACTTACTTAATTTCAATCCCAGTTCGACTTCGACGATTAATTCAAATATCTAAATTTCGAATAATACACCGACATAAAATAATTAATCCCGACTAATAATATCCGTTTATAAAATAAACGTATCGGAAATTAATTATCGAAACTGATTCGGTTACTGAATATTATTTAAACCGAATCGACTATCGACTTAAAGTCGAACTTATATCTGAATAACTTATTATCTAGGCTCGAAACTCATCTTTGACGATTCCTCAAATATTCTCGAATTCGATTAATACGTCAACACTTGAATGATTAATCCCAAATTTACTAATGTCCATTTATAAAAATAAACGAACCGAGATTAATTACTAGAATTTAATTCAGTTAATAGATAAAATTAACCGAAGATATTTTCGACTTAACGTCGAACTTGGAGCTTAACTTGCTGAATAACTTAGGCTCGGAACTAATATTGAGCATTTATCAATAAAGGCTAGCTTATACTCGAAGGCTAGTATATTTCCTTTATTAATAAATGACGGGGCGTTACACAAGTGATATTAAAATATCTATGTTAGAGAAATAATATTTATAGAATGTCCAAACCTAGATTATTAATTATTGATATATCAATATTATTTGTCCAAACCTAATTACGACGCATGATTCTTGGCCAAGTAGGATTCCGAAGCACTAGAAGCAGCCACGTAGGCTCAGCGCATTCGGGAATTATATATAGGGAGGATAATACCATGGAATAAGAAATAATATTTGAAAGCATACATAGCAAAAGCAAGTCATAGATTTAAACTTTGCTCTGATACCAAATGTAAGATTATTTATCCGATTTAATCATATGTCGGTGCAGTAGACTAATCAAGATTACATACCTCCAGTCATTGGTTGTGTGTACTTCATTCTTTGAAGAACTTGAAGGAAACAAGTACGGTGAAGGCTTGAGCACTTTACTTTCTCTTCAGTAATGATCTTTTGGGCTCTTTCACTTCCGCTTTAGATGGTGTAGTAAATACTATATAAAAAGTGATGAGCGCAGGGACCTTTTAATACCGATCGTACCGTTTGGCAGTGATACAATTTGACAGTAGACACCTTTTTGGCAGATACTGGTTGCACAAACACTGTGACCGTCAATTTATTGATTCTCTCCATTAATGAATAAACGTCTGATAAAGGGAACCGTATAAATTATAGAGATTAATATAATTTGTACTGCTTACCCTTATAAATAGGAACATGTATACCACTTTAAAATGATTGAGTGTCTACTTAATACAAGATAATTGAGAAAATGAAATACTAACATGATCTTCTCTCCATCTGTAATGAACCATATATATCCAAATGTAAAAATGCAACTGTTTAATTAAACATGATTCTCTTTTTTTTTTCTTTAACAATACCCCATGAGGGTGGGGATTAAGGCCGAATCCCCCACTTGTATATAAAAAGGCCCTAAATAGGCTGAAAAGTCACAAAGCTACAAAAAGCCAACTGGGAATATGATGCTCTTATCCAAACATTTTTACATTTATAACGTGCAATTGTTTAATTGAACATGATTTTCAGAGCCGGTCCTGAACAATAAGAGGCTCTGGGTGAAATATAGAAATAATATCCTCATTTTTAATATATATATATATATATATAAGCAACAATGATCTAATAACTACATGTTTTTGAGATTTTTTTAAATAAAATTTGTAATGAGAAGGTTATGTGTGCAAACTAATCAAATTGGTAGCGAGCCCTAGCATCAAAACCCAAACTAAAGACATGCTCGAACCTGTATTTATAAACTTGACTAATTTATCTGAATATCTTTAACTCAATGTGAATTATGTGATCTTATAATTTTTATAAATATTTCTAACTCAAACTCAATCGAGCAAAATTTATATTGGAATAGAAGTTTTCTATTGAAAAAATCAAACTTAACTCAAGCGTATCTAGAGAACTTGTATTTTTATCGAACCAAGTTGAGCCTTAAAAAGCTTGGGCCGTCAAACTCGATCTCGAGCAACAATAAAAAAGTATAAACCCTAACTTCATACATTTATTACTTAAACGCGTTCGACTCTTTAACATTCCTAAATACATGCAAAATCATCATCCTAATTTAATAACATTGTGAGAGAGTGATTTTAGCTAGGTTGAATCTTAGCGTATCATATTTAATTTTATTTAATGCTTTAAATAATACATAAATTCTTATAGCTTTATGGGTATAATTGATCTCTCATATTCACCTTAATATGTTCTAAGTCTGTTAAAACTGATAACTATGTTACTTTTATCACGTAATGAACTTTTTTTTTTACTTAATGGGTTTTTTTTTTCATAATTACAATTGTTATTTGATTTTCTAAACAATCATCCTATATAATAAAGTAATAATAATATGCCAAGAAGCAAATAAAAATGTAGGTTAGATAAAAAAAAAATATGGAGTTGAATGTAGGTTAGATAAAAAAAAAATATGGAGTTGTCTTTTGTTTAGTAATTATTAAATTTTTATAAGATTTTTAAGATTACAACTTATATAAATTATAATGCTTGAGGAACTAGGAAGGTTTCCGGATTTGTAATGTATTAATTAGTTGTGCCCGTGAATTCAAACTTGTATATTGCGGGAATTTGGGCTTTGGTAGTACGAATTGGGCCTGTGAATTAAAACTTGTGTACATGATGTGGGAATTTGGGCATTAGCAAAATTGATTGGGGCAAAATATAATTTAAAGATAAAATGTTGATGGGTGCCCAAATCGCCCTGGGCCAAGGTCGGCCCTCGTGATTTTCATTCAAACGGGATGAATGTAAACAAAGGGCCAAGCCTTTATTAGTATATACACTAATAGATGTGAGATATTGATCATCTGAAAGAAGGTTGGAGGTAATTTCCTACCAAAACATTTTTTTTTTTTATTATTATTATCACGAGTTCAAGACACATACAATATGGAAATTAATCTGAATTTACATTCAACATACAAAAGTATATTGGTTAACAATTTTTTACGATCATTGCATTACAAAAAGACGGAGTGTTGGTAAACTAATATATATATGTATATTATATACATATATGAAAAGCACGTGTAATGGAGCGATCTCAAACAGTGTTATTATGGTGAGCCAGACCGACGGCATCATCGGGAATATACTTGCCCCAGAACCAGTGGCTCTTCCACACTCTGTTCATCTCCTCAATGGGCACATTCTTAGTCTCGGGCACGAAAAAGTAGACAAACGTGGTCATCATTACCACCCATCCGGCGAAGAAGAAGAAGAGGCCGAACTTGAGGTGGCAGAGCAT